GCCTCTAAAATTAAGTATTGAGAGCACAACATAAAATCATGCAGGTTTGACTCAATTTTAATATTTGATTTATTAAAGGCTCTCATATCTCCTTTCCAATGTTTCAAAATAGAAAATAAGAATTGGAAATCTTTGGCTCATACAGTAGGTGCTTAATAAATAATTGATAGTAAACATATAGTAATAGATGAGTATCACTTTGAATTGTGTTTCTTTTCCCCTCCATTAGTATTCAAACCCATTTGTGCCTAACACTGAATTCTAGCAGAAAGACAAACACATGTCTTTGTTATGTTAGAAATATTCTCCATGGCTTTCAGCATAAAACAAACTCTTACCCCACAGTCTAGCCCCAACCTTATCTGCAACAACTCTGTAACTCTTCTCCTCTAACTGGCCTTAATACAGAACTATCAAGAATGGAAAGATTTCATTTTTCATATCTTGAGCTTTATCTTTCTTTTCCAGAAGGCCTCCTGCTATTGGCAATGGTACCCTGAATATTTTTCCAAGTTTGTATGTGCCATACCTAAAATTCCTTTCTACTAACCCCTATTTTAAGACCCTGATACCCATCATTCATTTGTTTTAATTTCAGTTCTTTCCCTTATTAGGGTTTTTACTTTATTTGACTGTTATTTAGGGCCCAAATAAGCCATTCTGCATTCCCATCACATAGTTAGTTTCCAGTTTAGAATGTAGAAACGTATCATTTTCCAAATGCTCGGGCAGTATCTGCCATATTAACTTGTGTGTTTCCCCTTCAAACTAGCGGGAGGAGATGAGAATTAATGTGTTTATCTACATAATTTCCCTACGCCCTTTGCCAGTGGAGCCTTCAAAAAGCTGACCATTATTTCGTGATCACTGTGTTTCACTCACCTCTGTGCCTCTAGTGTCTGGCAAGTTGCCCAGCATATACCAAGGTCTCAGTTAATACTGAATGAATGAATGAACACGTATTTCACACTTGCTCAAGGAGATGGATTTAAATTAGACAGGAGTCAGAGCTTGAAGTGAGTGTAATGCTACCCTTAACTCCTCTGCTGGGGCAGGAACCTCCTTCCCTCACTGCCTGTCTGTCACTACGGTTTCTTTCTACCTTTGCCTGAATGTGCCTTTGTCCCTAAGGAGGCTTCAGTACATGTCTGTAGTTAACTTATTTCCTTTCATGCCAATTATACATACAGCATTATGCCAATTATCCATATAGCTCAAATCTAAAACTAGAAAGAATTTTCTAAGTATTAACAATACTTCTCAATTCTCTTTTTCTAAGTCTCTTTCTAAAAACTGGAATCTTCATTTACAGATTTTTTTAAACTTGCCTGGAGGGGGAGCAAAGAACATAAAGAAAAGGATAAAACATACTTTACAACACATACAACATGGAGAGATTTTAATGAACTTTGCTACCAACTGCTATTCACAGTTGGTTTTTAGAGTGAGAATCTCAGCAATTAATATATTCTAACAATATTGGCTCTTAGAGACTCAAGTAAGAATTTCTCCTCCTCCTGTTGTAGTAGAAAATAGGAGGGAAAACGCAGGAAAAATAACACCACTATTTTGTTTCAAAACCACAGTATTTAAAAACTGCTATAGCAATACAACGCCTTCAATAAAGTCACAGTAGATATTTTTATCCTTCAAAACAGAGTAATAGGCAAAAATTTTGAGAGGGGCCAAAACTTCTATCATGTGTGAGCTATGAAAATTCACTTTAAAAATTGAATTATAATTATTTTTACATATGAAACACTCGTTCATTCAGGGATTTACAAAGAACACCTGTTAGTTTGCCTGCATGGAGAGAGTGCCGCCCAATTCAGAAAGAAGAAACCCCATTTTCCATGTATGTGTTTAAAAACCAGGCAGGTCATCACTTACCTCCCTCTCTGAGTAGAAAAAGAGATCTTCATGGAGTTCACCATCAGTCAAAGCAATGATGACGCTGGCTGTCCTGTATCCTGTTTAACACAACACAGACTGGCTCAGTCCATCCTGCCCCACCCAGGAAAGCTTCCGCTCAGCCCCGAGATTTGATCGCTTAGAAGCCTGCCCACCTGAAGTCAATATTCTAAAAACCAACTGTTCTTTTGGGCCTAGAAGCAACTCCAGTATGAAGAAGAATCTTCCATAGGGACATATAAGGGAAATAGATTTTGCTTCTGGGTTTCTCAGCTTTATCTCAAAAAATGGCCAAATCTGCTGAAATGGTCACTGAACTATTATCTGGGAATAGCTCCAGTGACTCAAGTGTCAAATTCTCACTTGGGCCATTTAGTCACCTGCTATAGTCGACCACATACACCATCCCTTGACCACAGTTTGGCAAAAAGCAATAGTCTGAATGACTTACAAGTTGACTGAAGAATTATAGCAGCCGATAAAACCCACCAGATTCTTTCAGTGATTTTTAGGCTTCTGGTAACAGTGCTCATGTTGATTCGCATTAGTAAGACTTGGGGTTGATATTTGGCTTGTTCTAGTTGCTGCAGTTTAGTGTGAAAAAGGAAGTGGACACCTCTACAGGCCTGGGAGGAAAATCTCCAGTGTAATATTGAATCTCTTTAAAGAGATTTTCCAGATATAAAGAAATGCAATCCACAAAAGAAGCAGTAGAAATACTAGCTAAAATAATTATCATTACTATTCCTGTGTGCTGGACACTCTGATAAGTATATTTTATGCATTTTCTTCATTTAAATGAAGTTTAAACCAAACTGGTGTCTTGATCTTAGTATCAATATCTAGTCACAGTAATGAAGAAGCCTGGCACTCAGAAAAGGACATGAAAATTAAATTTGACATAAAAATCCAAGACTTTACTAACCTATCCAAGTATTTACTAATTTAATGAATTCAACATGCAAAACTGTTCATGGGAATTACAGACTGTGGCCATAATGGGAACTTAATTACTTTTATATAACTTTTCTTGGCACCAACAGGGCTGTGGAATTTGACCTGGCATGTGCCATCTTTCTATGCATTCCTTCTTTGTGACGAAGTGGGACAATATCACATATGTCTTCTGAAACATGGAATTTCTGAGGCACTTTTTCAGAAACAAATGCAGAAAAATGTTAAATAATTCGTAATGGCAATTCACGCTATAGTCTTACCTTGACTGTTTTCATAATAAATCTGCTCACTGGCCTGAAAAACACATGAATGAACCATCAGACATACAACCTCTATTTGGCACTCCAAATACCACAGTGGGCGGTGGGCTCTGGTAGGGGATATGCGCTCAGGGCTCAGTCTTGATTCTTTATGAAATTCACCAGGTTTCACTCATGTAGCAATGAATGATATCCATGTAAAGTTACTCTCACGTTAAATAATATACAGTTCGGCTGTACATGTCTGTAGCCTAGAAGGAATAGACCATACCATAGAACCTAGGTGTGTAGCAGGCAGTATTGTGTACCTACCAACTATAATGGGTGCCTAACGAGTTACTTCTCAAAATGTACCCTTATCATTAAGTGATGTATGACTGCATTGTAAACATGGTTCAGTGTCTCATTTCTCCTACCCTAGCACTTATTTTCCTTAAAGCTGATGGCACCACCCAACATTCACTTTGGGGATGGCAGGGACTTGGGGGTGGCATGATTCATGACTGCTAGCCACGCGTCAGCTAACAAACCCTTCATCAGTGTCAAGAAAGAAAGGAGATTCATTTCTGTAGTTCTTTTGGGTAGAATTCTCAGTGCACAAGCTTATGGGGGAAAAATCTGCACTTTCTTGCCATTGAATGCTATTCAGCCCCCTAATACATGTGCCTCAGCTCCTAAGTCATGTCTATGTTGGTATCTCAATATTACACTTGATATTTGCAATTTAAAACAGTTTTAAAATTACCCTTTCAAATCCTTCATGCATGTAAGTGTCTCCTCCCGGCAGAACTTTTTGGAGCTCTTCTAGGCCTTGACGGATCTGTTCCCTGAAATCCAAAGATATTCTTTTAGTTTTATTAGAACACTTTTTACTTTGCTGTTGATAGATATATAGAGTGGTCATCTCCTCCCCTCTGTGGATACTGCTGTATTGCTCCACAGTCCCTCAGCAACCTAGCACAGGCCAAGTCTCTATATTACATTATAAAGTAGTATATAATGTATGAGATTTCAAGGGTTGAAGGAAAGGACCCTTCTGCAGGAATCTCCATCTACTTGCAAAAGCTTTCCTTCCTCTCAACAGGAACAAAGTTTTCATTCTACATTGTAAATGAGTCTTAAAAGGCAACTGCTCCTGAGGGGACCCACAGCAACCTAGCTGAAGAAGCACATGGCTCATGTGAGCCAGAAAGAGGCAAATGCCAAGAGCCCACGGAAGGTCACCGCGAGGATGTGGGTGGAGGAGGGAGGTGTCCAGAGCAAACTACCATCCGCATAGTTCTGCCAAAGGAAACGGTGCTGTCAGCTTTGAAAATAAAAGCTCTAGAAATGAGTCTACACTTTCTAGGACAACCAAGAGTGTTTTCTGTGGGCGGGTGCCTGTGTTTTCTTACTCTGGTCGTTCAAGGTGAAGGTGAGGGCAGGAAGAAGAAGTGAGATATGGCACTGGGAAGAAGTTGGACTGGCAGTGGGAAACGTGAATGGGTTGGAGCCAAATGGAAGCCTTGCAGACCGTTCTTTCTGGGATGTAAGACGTCCACATTCATGTTCCGGTCTTTTAAATAGCTCCACAGTATGCAGAAACGGGCAAGAAAGGGTAATTTCTCAAAAAACAAATAGCCTTATTCATAAACTGTAAACCTATGAAAGGGTTTGAAATTGCTTTCCTCCCACTGGGGTCTCTTTAGTGGCAGAGGGTGGAGATGAACTATTTAAATTAGCAAAGGAAACTCCTTTTGAGTAGGGGAAGAATCTGTTATTTTTTGAGTATTCGCTATATGCAAGTCACTGCTCAAAGATTTCTGATTTTATCCTCTTTATCCTGGTCTTTATCCAATGACCCCTCGAGGTGTGTATTATTTATTGTCCCCAGAGGACAGGTGAGAAAACTTGAGCTCAAAGAGGTAAGGAGGACAGCAGAGACTTGAGGTCAAATCTGTCTACCTCAAAAAAGGCTTTCTACTCTGCAAAGCAGCCTCCTAGGAGGGAAGAATGTTGGAAAAGTAAAAGTGGGAACTCGCTTCTGTGAAGAGCAACAGCCCCTTCTAATGTGATCTGGGCACTTCCAGCTCTGTCCTGAATACATGGAATGTAATTGATCTGCTTAAGCCTGAAGATGGCTCTTGGGGTAGATACTACTGACACCTCCATTTCACAGATAAGGAAACTGAGTCACAGAGAGGCTACAAGGGACCTCCACTAGGAAGTGGCAGAGGTTGGATTTCATCCCAAGGGCTCTGCTTCCAATCAGTGTGCTAAACTATTTCTTTTTCTCTCTCTTTCTCATCAATGAATGAAACTTATGACCCTTTTTGCCCTGACAACTACTTTGGGGGGGGGTTCTAATTAAATTAACCTTTGTGAAAACTGATGTGATGGGGCAGCCGTGGGTGAGGCTGGATCACCAGGCTGCAGGAGACTTTAAAAGGCAAACTGAAAAATGGTTAGGCTCAGCCTGTCTCTGTTCTGCTGATGCTTCTTAGGTGGACTACTTAAAATCAAGTAACTCACACGCTGGGAAATGTACTGGCTATTGTTGGATTGTCTTCTTGGTGCCCGGATATCACAGCACATGCCCAGTTGCACAAGTCAGAACCTGAAAGCTCTCCCTGAACCATACCTTTACCCTCCTCTCTCCTTCTGCGCCCCCACAGACTCTGTCATCAAATTCTGTTAGTGCTATTCCAAATATATCTGGACGTGGACTGCTCCTCCA